CTCACCCACTGAATCCCCCTGACACCCCAGACGCCCCGGAATGGTTGGATGTGGATGCCGATGCCCCTGTCGCTCCCTCCGAAAGCCCAAAGGTCCCCCAAGCAGAGAAGGAAGCTGGCGTGTTTAAAACCGTTCGTTCCTTCGATGCGGCTGACGACTCCAAATCTTCCGACATCTTTGAAATCTCAAACTCCCTTAGATCTTCCAAAACATCCCACTCCTCTAAGACTACCGAATCCTTCAAATCTGTTGATCTGTCCAAATCCCCGTCAATCTCCGAAACAACCGACGTGTTCGACGATCTGAACGACTTTGACATGAACGATGGTCATAAAACTTCAAGCTTCACCATTGGCTCCGACATCTCCAAGCTTCCTTACCCGGACTCCGACGATTCCACATCCTCCAAAGTTCCGTACGCTCTAGACAACTTCCACGCTTCCAAGACTACGAAGGCACTCCAGAGCCTGGACTTTCCTGACGTCTTCGATGCCTCTGACAGCTTCGACACTCCAGCCACCCACGGCACCCTGGATCCCGTCTCTTCCGTCACCCCCTTCACCGCCGAACCACTCGCCTCGACTCTGGTCCAAGACAGCCTTGCTGCCCCTGACGTCTCAGACATTGTGGACGTAAAGGATAGTCGCGAGATCACTGATTCGTCTAACGACCCTTCCTCTGACAACACCATCAATTCCTCTGACATCCTGGACGTCCCAGTTACCTATGACGGCCGCACCTCGTCTTACACCACCAAAACCGTCAACATTTTCCAAACCATTAAAATGTGCAATGCCACTGATGTCTCCGGCGCGATCGTCACCCTCAACGCTTCCGACGGCCTTTTCTCGTCCGACGTCAGCACCACCGGGGTCGTCAACCTCACCAGTAAGGGTCTCCGCGCCTTGAACCGCAGCGATGTCGTAAACGCCAGCATCTTTCTCAACGAAACCGATTTCACTTCACCAGACACAGAGCTCTTCTTCGCTCGTAACGTGTCGTCTGAATGTGTTAACGTAGCTGAAAACCAGAGCGACGCTTTCCGCCGCGGTAACACGGTCACCCCTCCTACACTTCTGGTGAATCCCCCTCAGCCCCTGTCCCCCGGGCCCGTCCCGCCTGACGTCCCCACGCTCCTGCCCGCGCGCCTGACCGTGGCCGACGTGATCGGCCTGCCCCTGGCCAAAGCGAGAAACTCGTCAAGCGCGGGGGCGTGTGCGGGCGAGCCCGCCCACGCGCCCGGCTCGGTGGGCGTCGTGCTGCAGGCCGACTACTCCTCCAACG